GCTCCGGCGCGAGATTGGTAAGCCCTAGGCTCGAATCTCTTAAGGCGGGATAATCGATGAGCATTGCTAAGGAGTCCTATAATAGGACAAAACGGCCGTCCAGTGCTTTCAGGTTTTTCATGGTGGTCTAGCTTGAATTGGCTCATTACCTCAGCTATATAAAATCACAAACTTATTTGTCATTGAATTAAACGGTTGAACATGAGAATTAGTTCGGTAAAATGTGTAGTATTCAGTTGCCTTTTATTAAAAAGCTTGTTATTATTAAATGTTTGTTTGAACTGACAAATGAAATTTAGAACATCTGTTGAAGTAGAATAATATAAAAATACATTACATTCTATGGTTTCTCCACCGATTCATACAGATTTATTCGTATAACATTAAGACATAACTTAATGTGAATTGAATCATTTTGGTGAAGTTTTATTCTCTGAGCTGGATGGTTTGGTTGTGGAGCTTTCATTGGTCTTCTCAACTACATCATCAACCTGTCACCAATAACCGATCAACATCGAGGTCTACAGGACAAGCTATGAGTTGTGTGTGGAGAACACTTCACTTCTACCTGAATTTTGTATTGATGATGTTGTTCAAAAGAACTATGAAAGCTCCATGACCAAACCATCCAGCTCAGAGAACTAAACTCTATTGAAATCATCCACCTGAGCTACAAATCTTTTCCATCATCTCAAATTATGAAATAGATTTCTAATATGAATAAGTTGTAATGTTGATTGGATTGTATATTTTAATATTGTTTCAGTTGAGTTTTGCCAAGATAAGTTTTAATAGTTTAACAATGAACCGTATGCTCATTTCATATTTTACTCAACTAAAATGTAAACTATTACAAACAAGAATTCAATTCAATCTACTTATTAACAAAATTACGTAATAAACATGAAAGATTTGATCACATTATTAAATAACAGAATATAACCATATCAGGTATGTGACAGTAATCTACACTAGGCGAAAGGAGTTGGTTAAACATTTACATGATCGAATATTGGCAAAATGATCTTAAGTATAAACTCATGGCCCGAGATTGAAGGTTTTTGATTCAATCCCTGGTGAATTCATGGATGAACATTATTGAAGGGTCTTATACCATTATCAAAAATCTCTCCAGTTCTTCTTGACTTTCAATAATCATCTAATAAACATTATACTTTGATGTAAACTATAAATCGATTCAAAAGTACCTTATGTTTTAGTAATTTAGTCATTTGAAGTGTTAAAATCCATGGTAATTTATATTTATTTTTCATAAATAAACATTCATAACATATGTTACTGTGAATTTGTGAATTTCTTAGATCCGACACTTAATTTCATTTGACTGCATAAATAACATCTGGTAATTCGTTTTTTAATTTTTGTTCTTTTCATTCGGCTTCAATAATAAAGAGTTTTTGTGCTGTTTGCAAAAGCTGTATAATCATTGAAAATATGGTCATTTGTAAAAAGAGTAAAAACTAACAATGTTTTTATTGCATCCACGATCCCGCACATGGAACTTGGACCCAGGATTTTCGGACTAACTCCTAACTTCTAGAACATTTAATCGATCGGTATTCAAAGGTGTTAATGTTGAACGTTAATCGATATGTGATGTTGCAAAACCCTTCATCTATTGTCTGGGATAACTGTCTCCATTTGATACGGATTGGACTCCTATGGTCTAAATTCAAAATCAAACTTCTAAAGTTCTGTTGTAAAGTCATGACCAGTCAAATTCAACCATGTTAGGTGTCAAGCAGTTACACATTGAAGACAATGGAAGTTGGTCATGCAATATCGTGAATTGGTTGAAGTTAGATATTAACACCTTTGCAATGTCTACTCAGTAGTCTAGAGATTGAGAGATAGCGCGTTTGGTTGAAGGTCCTAGGTTTGAGTCCCGTGTACATGATCGTGGATGCGCACTTTTGAGAAGTCTCATAATAGAACAGAACAACCATTCAGTGCTTCCATGTTTCCAGTGGTGGTCTAGCTTGGACTAACTCTTGAATTCAACTATGAAAAATATAACTGTTTAACTTTTAAATTACATTTGACAATTCATATAAGACGAACACTATTTAGTGTTTTTTTGATGGACATTTCTCTTCACTATTGAGTTTGTTGTCATTTTGCTATAGAACGTAAAACGAGCTTCTTTCTTGCTTTTCCATTTATTTTCGATTTTAACAGAGTAATGATACCTTAAGCAACTTTTGAAGCCTTCGCAATTAATAATTGATCACTGAACGTATATATTTCTTATCAAATAGCTGTCAAGTGATGACTATAACCATTTAATTGAGAGAAATATATTGTGTCGTTGACTTCTAACTGAAGTGTTATTAAAAGATAGCTGTTGTTGTGCACTTGCATTGGTTGTAGTGGTATATATCACAATTAGGAGTTTGACAACTGATTCTTCTTGTTTTGAGAGTTTAGGACAGTGACTGGTAAAGGTGTGTTGTTTTTGTGCTTATTCATAATCCTTTATCTTCATAATGAATCTCTAGTATGAGGCTTGAACTTAACAGTGAGAAAGTTGATTATCGTTGACACTAGGTAATCAATTTATTATATTACAGTTGACTGAAGTTGAAAAATGTGAGCTGTTTGATTTTTTATTTATACCTGTTATCCCTTATGAAGCATAGGTCGCCGGCTATGATTTCCCAGCCAACTATGTCCTGAGCTCTTCCTTCCAGTTTTTCCAAGGTGCTATTAATTCTTATCATGTCTGCTTCCGATTCCCGGTACAACATGTTCTTTGATCTGCCTCTTTTCCTTGTAACTCGGATATTCTAAGTCAGCACTCGCCTCATTATTCATTTTGATGATTTTCGCTAAGTATCCTATCCGCTTACAATGTCTTCTTATAATTTCCTCTTCATCCGGCAGCTATTTTGTTCTTTACCATGGTAGGTTGCTGCTGTTGGTATCCGACCAACGGACATCGATTATCTTGCATAGACAACTGTTTATAAATGCCAGTATGTTTTGGTGATGGTTACAGTAAACATGAATAAACATGAATTACGATGGAAATTATTTTCACAATGAAATAAACATATATAAATCACTCAAGCAAAGTGATTGTTTAATATCAGAAGGGGTTTTGTGGAGATTTTAGTATTTTTATAGAGTTGAGATCATGAGTCAATTGAAGCTAGACTACCATGGAAAACCTGGAAGCACTGGACGGCCGTTTCGTCCTATTATGGGACTCCTCAGCAGTGCGCGTCCACGAACCCACTCTCGTGGGATTCGAACCCAGGACCTACCAGTTTCGAGCCGAAGCCCTTAACCGATAGACCACTGAGCTGGCATCCAACGGTGTTAATTTCTAACTTCAACTGATTCACGAAATTGAGCAACCATTCACCAATGTCATCAGTGAGTTCCTATCTCACAACAGACCTGGTTGAACTCCACCGGTTACTGCTTCTCACTAGAACTCCAGGAAATACCTCAAGGAGTCAGTCACTAGTGAGCACCTGATTATTATCAGAAGGGGTTTTGTGGAGATTTTAGTATTTTTATAGAGTTGAGATCATGAGTCAATTGAAGCTAGACTACCATGGAAAACCTGGAAGCACTGGACGGCCGTTTCGTCCTATTATGGGACTCCTCAGCAGTGCGCGTCCACGAACCCACTCTCGTGGGATTCGAACCCAGGACCTACCAGTTTCGAGCCGAAGCCCTTAACCGATAGACCACTGAGCTGGCATCTGTTACTTAACCAATATTACGCTTACATCATTGAAAAATTGACGAAATCGGGGGGTAGAGAATTGTTAAATGTATGAACTTAATGGAATTCAAATGAAGTGGGTTAGAGGTTGTTTAGAATTCAAAAGCTGTATAAGATTATATCATTATCCATTAATACTATTCATATTTAGCATTTCTAAGAGGGTTGAACTTTTTCCTCTCTTCGTTACATTCATATTCAATACAAAGCATAAATTAACTTTTATCAATCAGAATGAATAACAGACTATTCTCTTCAAGTCTTGATTTATCCCTTGTAAGGCTGAGCTATTAACAATCGCTTAACCACTGAGTAGTGAATAATGTCATGTGTATTTAGTCCTTGAGTGCTAAATAGATTCTATCTATCAAGTTTCAATGTGAGCGCTAGTCTGAGTGAATCAATATTGAGTACCGTATTTTCAAACTGTTATATCCCGAAGAGAATTATGAATGGCAACTTTTGAGAACTATTTATGGACCGATATGATGCGTATATTTACTATTGTATGAGCGCTAAGTAACTTAACTATTCACATTCATGTTTCCTTTATTACGAGCTTTATTTTGATCTATAAACTATTATTATACGATTTACCATTCCTGAGTTATCCCCAGTCTATTGATTACTATTTCCCCTATTCACAGACATATTTGGCCAAATCTTGTACAAATGTTGTTTTCTATTTTATGGTACGATGTAGTCTGTCTGTTCGGTGTATAAACCCAGTATGTTTGAGAATAATGATTCATATTGCGGAGGCTGTTATTGGTGTTCTGGACTTAACTGACTGGGCTAGGCAGAAAGCAGTACCGACAAGTACTCTAGACTGCTCGTATGGGTTTCGTGTGTCACTGATCCGATCAATAAATTTACCGCTCTCTAATAGGCGCGTACAAGATATAACAATTGGCGTTCACAGGTTATACCACTAACTTTAGGTGGTTAGAAGTAGTCTACAGAAAACTGTGGGTCTAACATCTCAACATGCTACACGCGATTTCACAACACTCAGATTAGTGTTTACTTTGTGACTTAATAGACAGAAATCGAACAACACCTGAAGGACTAGATGAATATGACGTTGGTAACTACCTGGTGATCAATTCATTGATAGCTTTTACATATTTAATCGGTATTCATGAAAGCATTCCTAATATTTTATTGAAATAAAAGTTGTTCAACACAATAATCGTAAGCTTATAAATTTGTCTCTTTTATTGTTCTTTTCAACAACTTCCAGTGGCTGCCGAAAGTTTTGATCCAGAAAAAGACAGTGATGAAAGTAATGAAGAAGAGAGACAAATTTATCCAAAATCTGATAGTCAACGGGCTAGGTTAACTAATGCTGTCAAAGAAATCCTACTATTTCGATGCCTTGATGAAGTAAGTCTGAACTGTTTTACTTTTATTATTTATACTATACCAAATCAATATGGACAAGATCATAAGTTCCTGTTACATGAAGTAGGTAATGAATATATTGACCAGAATGATAATGAACTCTGTATAGCTAAATCATCAAGCTTAGAAAACACAACATTACTAAATCAAACCCCTCTAATTGTAAGCAAATATGGATAGCGGCTAGCAGTGGAATGTAGGACGCGCGTTTCGTCCTATTTGGGACTCGTCATCTGGATTTACCTGCATCTCAGGGTTGATATTCACTCTGGGACTCGAACCCAGTACCTTTCGCTTTAAACGCCACCGCAGTTCTAAACATCAATAAGAAGATTTAAACAAACAATACCAAGTGAATTCAAACCGCTCTAAGCTGAAAATCTTCAGTTAAAAAAAGCTATGATTCCCCATTTCCTAAATGCTATATCTAAAGTAGATTAAATGCATTTAAATTAGAATATATATACATAAATTATAGGATTAGTTTATACAGAAGATCATTATCTCTAAGAAAAGCTATTATAACCTGTTAGTTTATCAAAGACAAATATAGTTCATTACTATAAATCTATATATTAGGTACCCCCCCTTTATTATCATAAGAAGTAATAACTGGTGTATAATTATGTCTCCAATCCCTTGTTTACTTATAATCAATCTTGTAACGACAACATGATTATTTAAATGTTGATTATCTTGTTTACCAATCATCATATCACTGACCTTAATTTAACAAATGAATAAAGGACAAATTGAGCTTAGAAATTGAATTAATTAACATATATTTCAGCATATAATAGATATTAGAAGAAGAACTTGGATTTCCTATTGAGATAAACTGATCATTTTCTTTTTGTGGGTGTGTGTGTGTGTGTGTTTCTGAATTCATCGTTGGCTTCGTATGTATTCCATTTTCTTTCATTTTGTGGGTCTTGATGAAACACTCCAGCTCTTTTGTTAAAATATCGTTGTATTTATATATATATATACATATACAAGGGAGAAAAACATGTAAATGTGACCTTCTGAGAAACTCATAAATAAATATCGTAATCGTTAGATAAGAAACACTAACCTTATAAAGAAAGAAATATGTATTCCAATGAAGCAAACAGTTTTTTTTTATCTTTGATTAAAACTTGTTAGGGAGACATTGAAAACTGGAAAGGATTTTAAACCTGTGATCTCTTAACTCAAGACTTCTCAGAATTGTGCAATAATGATGGACTAAATTTAATAACATTAAGATTTGTCCCGACCATTATGTCATTCTATGATTGAGTTCAAATATAATGGCCCATATATATACCACACAAATGTTATGTTATATTATTAGTGAGAGGCATTCACCATGATCTAAACTACGATAACTTGAGGTCTGTTGGAGATGTGATATTTGAGATTACTCTTGATTATTTGCATTTATCTATTTTATCGATAGTGAAATGTTTAGACATATACAAAAATCAGAAGAAATTTTTGTGCATATTATAGTAATTTTGATAGTTGGGATCATGAGTCAATTGAAGCTAGACCACCATGTAAAACCTAGAAGCACTGGACAGCCGTTTCGTCCTATTATGGGACTCCTCAGCAGTGCGTGTCCACGATCTCGCACTTACGAGATTCAAACCCAGGACCTACCAGTCTCGCGTCAGAGCACTTAACCGATAGACTAATGAGCCGGCATCCAACGGGATCGTGGATGCGCACTGCTGAGGAGTCCCATAATAAGACGAAATGTCCGTCCAGTGCTTCCAGGTTTTCCATGGTGGTCTAGCTTCAATTGACTCACGCTTTCAACTATGAGAAACAAGCAACCCAAAAACTCAAGTAGATTGATTTTCAATTTTCACTTACTGTAATTTATTTATGTTTAATAAATTAGTTATTTTGTTTATTTACTATAAATGGAACAAATTTCAATGTTTACTTATTTGTTTGTTTGTTTGTTTGATTTTAAATGAATTGAATTCAATCACTAAAACACGGTAATTGAGCATTCTCAAAACAACAAAAAATACAAAAAATTTGTTGAAAGATTAAAACAATGCGAATCAAAGAAAACAACGTTCATTCGTTTAGTTGTTTGTTTATTAGATAATTTATGAAATGCATCAAAGCAAATAAACATTTTCTATGGTAAAAAATAAAAATGTAAGACACACCTTAAGTTTTCTTTTCTTTTTTTCACCTATTAATGGAAATGATACTCATTTACTTACTTAATTACGCCTGTTACTTCCAATGGAGCATAGGCCGCCGACCAGCATTCTCCAATCCACTTTGCATTGCATTTTTTATACCAATTGCATTTCGTTCCCGTTCTTTCCTTATTGATCTTCTACTTAAATACCATCGTTATATACTACTTATGTGGATATATGTAGCCCATACCACAGCATTAGAAAACGTCTTCCTATTATTCTAGTTATTTAACTGCCTTATTGATCTTCCCTTAGTATGTATGTTATTCTGTTTGACCCAGGTTTCATACTGATTACCACTTGTGAGGAAGATGTACTGTTAAGCGTAAGGAAACTGATAATCACGATTGATGCTCAAATAGCTTGTCTATAAAATCTCACACTGTGAAACTGAGTGACTAGGATTCAAACACGTCAGGTAAAAATTAGTTTCTTTAAGACTGCAGTCATGCCTACCTAATAGGTATCAAATAGCACGAAACCCAGGCTAAATAATGTTTCCGATTCTACTAACTCAAACTACCTCACATCTGAATATAATCCACGCGATATTAAATCATTTTGGTCATTGGCCAAACCACAAAGTATTCTGTAAACCTTGACTAACAGTTGGAGAGACCTGGATGAACAATAAATTTAAAAACAAAGCTGATATAACCATTCGATTATTCATAATTCACATAATAGACTTGTAGTGGCTAGTACTATTTCAAGCCTACATAGGTTATTGATATGTCTTGTGGGTTGAACGCTATATTTAGATCCTAAGCTATTCTGATGACCCCAGGCTAGCACTACTACGACTTGAAGACCAGAGAGAAGACACGAGTAACGAGAAGATGCTTTATTGCAAGGTTCATCTTTGTACAGAAAATCGTAGGTATTTATAGATGTTTGCTTAAGTTAAATCAACATCCTAATTCAGCCAATCCACTTAACGACATAAATTGCTACTGACCAATGATAGCGTGCCACGTTGGAACTCCAGAATGTTCTGTCGTGCTCTGATTGGTTGGAGCTCTTTTTGAGCCTCTGGAGGCTCTGTTGGAGTTCTCTGGAAACCGACTTAACAGTTATTCTAGCTGCTGGACAGATCAATCTATTCATACTTCTTAAGCTATATTTTGACTTTGTCACTTATTCTCTTGTTACCCTTGACTTTTTATGTTAGCGTATGTGTGTGCACTTCTTATTGTAATCATCACATATCTGTAACTTATTTTTATCTGACTATAAATATTGATTAACGCTTGATAATTAGAGTTGGCTCACATGTCATATCAACCGCGTGTCATTTCGCTTTGTTTTTCCGATCATTTGTCTAAATCAACGATTGTATGAGATATTCGTATTCGAAATTTATTCTCGTACTTGACTTATTTAATTCCGCTATTCACCAACGCGAGTTAAGTCCATAATTATATGCGAAGATTGGCGGAATGTGTATTTCAATAACAATCACTCGTACGATCTAACTGGAGTCAGATCTTGATCGACTAAAGACTGATTATAGTTATACAATATTTTAATATTGCAAATTCATTATGGTGAGACTTTTAAACTTGTAGTATGCTTTCTATACAAAGTAATGATAACATTCAAGCAAACAAAACATCCAACAGGATATACATAAACTAATCATATGAATATATAACTCTTTCTACTTTTACAAACTGATTGAATAGAAATTCAACATCATTGTTTTCTATAGTGATCTAATTATTGTACAATTAAACTTGATTTGCTGAATTTTACTCTTAGTGTAAGTACTAAATTTGGACCATATTTAATTACTAAGAAAAAATTTGAGAAGACCACCAGTGGTCTATAGGTTAAGTGCTTGAGCGCGAGACGGATATGTTCTGGGTTTGAATCTCGCCAGGCGGGATCGTGGATGCGCACTGCCCAGGAGTCAGACAATGGAACGAAACGACCGTCCAGTTCTTCCAGGTTTTCCATGATGGTCTAGCTTCAATTGATTCATGATCCCAACTATATAAAGTTAAATAATACAAAGATCTGAAGCTAAGTTTTGTGGTAGTTAATACTTGCTAGCATGGAATAGCTCCAAAATACTAACTAGCATCGTTTAATGTCAAAGAGATATTACCATTTGGATATTCAGACCAGTTAGTGTAGTTTTTTCATTGTTTCAAAGACAGAAACTATCAAGAGTATACAATGATGAATCGAAATTGTAACACATTTGATGAATTTCGATGGTGTAATAAGATGACGAAGATTATCAGGACTATGTGAATATATTAGTGCAATACATTTCGAACAATCTGATCACACAGACACACACTTGTTAAGAACATTTATATATAAAAAATAAAAGGTCAACTAGACTGGAAATAGAGGTTAGAATATACAAGGATAATAATGGTAAAATAATGTGAAAACAATTTGATACTTAATCACTCTGGCTAATAAGTTAATATTACCAGGGTAGGTTTAAGGTGAGAACAAACTGTTTTTGAATACACAAAGAAGATTTGAATTTTCATATGGCTAAGGCTTCAATAAACCTTAGTATACGCCCTTTTATATTACATAGTTCTGAGAATCTTTGTCTTCTTATTACATTATCGAAATTTATCAAAGGGACTAATTGTTTTAAACATATAATGAACTTAAGATGTACTATCATTTTGACATATCAACATTGTAATTATGAATAATAACTACTTTTACTAGTGAATTAATGAGATAATTCACTCAGATTTTAACGTTCTACTTTTGAATTTAAGGAACAAAAGTCAAAAGTTATTGATGCCATGCAAGAAATGAAAGTCAAAGAAGGTGACGTAGTTATCAAACAAGGTGATGATGGAGACAATTTCTACGTAATTGAATCGTAAGTTAGCTAAATTTCTGCTTTTTTCTTCATTATGGGTTTTATTTGACTATATTTTAAATAACCTGACTATTCGTTGAAGACTGAAAAAAATATTCAATTGGCGAGACTATAATTTGCGGGCGAGCCAATCAGAAGCGTTTGAGGGATTTCAAGGTCACGGCGCTAATTTCAGTACCTGATGCTAATGTACGATCGTTTCACAGAGAATTTTAGAGAAGATTTGACAATTAAGCGACTACAACAAATGATACTACTAAGAAGTTCCTTTATTTGTAATTGCAGTAATCAAATGACTTGTAGACCTTGTGCAGACTACTGCGATGTCCTCCGATGTAATATATGTTGAAGGAAGACGTTTGATAGATTAGGAACCTTTTTTGCTCGATCCGGATTGAGACTAAGGCAATATTATAATAATTGCCGCGAACCATATAATAAAAGTATCAGTAAAATTGACTGCAATAATCGCAGATGTCACTGAAGCTTCGGATGTGCAGTGGCATCAATATTGTAGGGACATATCCATAATAAAAATGATAAACTTACACAACCGGAGTACATAAAAACAATTATGAAGCTGTGTGGTCGATACTGAGAGGGTTTTTGTGACCTTATCATGGCTCCAGAGACCAACTATTACGGAGCCATATAGATGAGCTCCTCTAACTTATGCATTACGACTTTTGAACCTTTGAACCTCTTTCTAACCTTGACAAGTTTTTGGATCATTTAAAAGAAGTGTATAAACTTTAATTCTTTGGTTTTGCATAATATATTTTTACTCCGTACTAACTGTTTACTGACAGGCTAATATAATTTTCAAGGTCACTTGAGATTCGTTCAAAGGTCGTCCATAAATTATAGTTGATGACCAAATGTGTCACTAAAATAGAAAAATTCCAGCAAACAGATGGAGTGTTTCCCTTTACGTTTTCCAGGATAGAGAACCTTAAGTAGCTTTTAAGCACTTCGGTATATACTGTTAGAATTTGAAACTATTCAGTTCTGTTGCTTTGCTAATAAACAACCCAGCTACTCCTATTGCTTAGTATTCTTATACAATGACACTCAACAAGACCCTAAAATCAGAACACGTTGAACAGGAAAAAAATTGTATTCAAAATAACAAGGGTAGGTGAACAGCAATCAATCGTTAGAAAAACATTCATAAATTTATAGTAAATACATAAGAACCTTCTAGATGTTTCTCAAATAATCTGCCAGAGCTGATTGATTTAGAATTAGCCAAACAGTGTGCGCCGTCACAATCATGAACATAACAAGCCTTAATCCAGTTTATTTCCCGCTAACAAGTTCAAACAGATGTAAAAATAGAAGGCTTAGCTGTAATATTTGAGAATTTTAAAAACTGTATGCCCAAACGTTTAAGTGTGCCACCAACACTTTGAATAATTATCCGATGTTTCTAGAATATTCGCAAGCGTTAGTTTACGCATGTAATGCATAGATATTTTCGACACAATGACATAAAGTTAAGCACAAGAAAGTATTAAAAAGAATATTCAAAGGTTTTAATTATAGAGAATAGAAAATAAATTTGAATAGTAGATACTGAACAGAATATGTCTAGTGAGATATGTACATTTAAAGACGTAATACATTGGCAAAAAATGGTATAAGATTACTAGAGATCATAAACAACTGTTTCATAACATGTTCAGTATCTAAGTGAATTTAAATAAAGACAGAACAAATATTGATGCAGAATAATATGAATTCATTATATTTCGTGGTTTCTCATCAGCTGTTTACAACCAAATATGCATTAGAGTTTTAGCATTGGGGTAATAAATAGAATGGAACGACTGACATAAGTGAATGTAAAAGGATTGGAATAACAAAAGTCATCGATGATAACTATATATATATATGGGCAAGGAAAGGTCAGAGGTTATTAGGTATTAGAATAAAGTGTGGCGTAATAGTTGAGTGGAGTTCAGAGACAGGTAAAATCAAAAATATGATTCTTTTAGAGGTAGTTGAAAACAATTAGGGTAGGTTACGTAATAATTGAATAAATTTGGATAGTTCATATAATTAGGAGACAAATGAGCGGAAATGTGTGAGAGAAAGGGTGGTTTAAGAATTGGGTAAGGGGAGGGGAATATAATAAAAACTGAATATTAACCAAAATTCTCTCACACATTTCTGCTCATTTGTCTCTCCTAATTATACGAACTATCCAAATTTTATTCAATTACTACGTAACCTACCCTACCTGCTTTTGTACTGAACTGGTGATATCTTTGCATTCCCTTCTTAAAAGTCACTTCGTGTAATGTTTAGAAAGTGACCACTTTGTGAGGAGAATGTAACCTGCCCCACAGCAGCAAGTAGATTTATAGATATAAATCGATGTGGCCCAAAGCGGAATGTTATCTTTAACATATCCGTGATACCGGGATGCAAATATCAAAGTTCCTATTCTTAACGTGGTCACATAAAAATATATAGTTTCTATGAATGGAACATTTGTAAAGAAAGAAGTAAAATCCAAAGAGATCGCTTTTCTGCCACTTATATGAATATTTCTAATTGAGTCGAAAAAAATAGTTTGAATTATTCTTTCTGGTTAGCTTTTTAGGCGAGCTAGTTTTCTACGGAATGGGGTCACTAACCCCATACCCAACCCGCCTCCTTTATCCGGGCTTGGGACCGGTAGTAGCCCCAGAGTGGCTTTAGGGGGCAAAGCAAGATCAGTATATCTACAATTGAAGAACATCTGGAACTCAAAACAACTGTCAAACAGCTCCAAAGTCATAATTTTCACTACAGATATCAAGGCAGTTCTACTGTATGGGGTGGAAACTTGGAGAACTACGAAAGCCATCAACCAGAAGAAACAGGTGTCATTAATACTGTTACTGCTTATACGACTCTGACATTTCGTTGTGCTGATATGGAAGGACAAACTGAACAAGTCCATATATGTCTAAGATCTTTGCTGAATATGATTGACTTTATATAAGAGTAAAACCTAATGGAGATGCAACTGGGAAATTTTAATATTTTAGGGTGAAATACTTGCATCGGTATTGCCGAAATACTGTAGTCTTATTTTTCTTTAAACAATCTGTATGCATTATTTATATTACTATTTATTAAATATTTAATATTTTTATATACTATAGAGGCACCTATGATATATATGTTAAACAGAATCAGTCAAATGACGAGAAATTTGGTGAAAAAGTTGGATCATACAATGGTCAAGGTTCATTTGGTGAACTTGCTTTAATGTATAATACATCACGGGCTGCTTCTATAATAGCTACTACAAATGGTATACTATGGCTTATGGATAGAAATACTTTTCGACGTATTGTACTCAAAGCAGCCTTTCATAAACGACAAACATACGTAGAACTACTTGAAGATATACCATTGCTTAAAGAATTAAGTAGTTATGAACGTACAAATGTTGCTGATGCTCTACAATCTAGGATATATCAAGATGGAGCAACTATTATTTCTCAAGGTGAAACTGGCAAAGAAATGTTTATTATTGAATCGGGAACTGTAAGAATTAGTGTAAAAGAGGTAAGGTTGAATAATTTTTAATGTAAACATGATTATACAGTAACTGTAAAGAGTTACATCAGTTTCCTTAGTACTGACTTTACAACCAAAAACAAGTCATTTAAGGAAAATAACTCGTTTGTCAAGAACAGATTCATGTACTCGACGCTGAGCCAATTATTATTATCAGGGTTCGTAACGTTACCTGGCTACTTAGATCTAAGTAAGTTGGAAGAGGTTTGCACATGTAATCCCTGTTATCAAGCTGGATACACATTCTTTTATTCAGATACATTTTGGTAGCATCTCATATCAAAACACAACTACTCTTAGCATAATTTCTGAATAATTAAATGTCTGAAATTAGTATACATGTAACTCAGTTCAAATGCTTTCTAGTATAGTGTAAATCTAAAATTTTGACCTTATGCATCCTTATGCTGAGATTTACATTAGCGTTATTTCTTAATACACTTAAAAGCATCTATAGCACATATTTAGAGTCATTTCCAACCCTGATTATTTATATAATGTAAAACTACTTACTGAAAACTAAGATATTAGTAGTATATACTTGTTAAACATGTACAATATTAATTCATTTAGTATTGCTTGTTTGAATCTTCCCATTGATGTTTAGCACTGCGACTGGCCAGTCTCTGATTGGAATATGTGCATACTGTGCGTATTGCCTCGATATAGCCTAAATTCACAAACATGGTAACCAAAGATGGATATTAGCCAGCAGTGGAATCCAGTTTGACGCACATTTCGTCCTATTTGGGACTCGTCAACTGGATGTACCTGCATATCAGAGTTGATGTTCACTCTGGGACTCAAACACAGTACCTTTTGTTTCAAACACTATCACGTTATCCACTCAGCCACTGAGTCCTGATAACCACTTGCTATGTACAATATTAATTGCCTTAATTAAATTATTCAAATTATATAAACTTGGTTAATGAATGTAAAGACAAACCTAAATATTTTTAATTCATTAAATTACATTTATTTTATTATTTTTACTATAGAATTCAAAAGAAGTAGAATTGAGTCGACTTGGTAAAGGTGCTTATTTTGGAGGTAGGTTACGTCACTATTATTATTATTATTAGGTTTATTCACTATTGTACTATTGGTACAACACGAAGTATTTCAGCAAGTTTCTAATTCTTACTTCTTGATCGATCTTAATGATGAATATGAAGTGATCATCAGTCAGATGTTAACAGTTCAGGAGTCGACCTCTGAATAATGTTGATTCTTTTGAATGATTATTTTCTGATATTACGATGCCTGTGATTGTACCTTTTTATAATTTGTACAGCGAAAGGTCGTAAGGTTTTCATAAACGCGCCTAAATAAGTCATACAGTTAATAGAGAAAGTGATATGTTAAAACAAAAAATAACAGATAACTTTTTGAAATATTCATATGGTAGAAACAGGTAGCCCAGATATTCAAGCAGGCCGCCAACCTCCGTAACGTTAATGGACGTGAACATAAAAGTGTCATGTGTATTAGTTATAAGTTAAAATAGATAAATCGGATATAGTTGGATAGACGTTAGAAATAAACTACTGACATTTCTTGAGATGAGAACTTTTTTACGAATGTAAAGATTATCATAGTTTACACTATGAAATGATTTTCGTTGGATAACGATTGAAAATCAGAGAACCTTGGATAGCTGCTTCGTTTTAGCATGAAACTTCCCAACAGTGTGAATTCATAACATCACCAATAAACGAACCCAGTACCCTCGATTTTGAGGCAAGTGCCTAAAATAAAGGCTACTGAGTCAGCTTCTAATGGACTCATCATAGTGAGCAATCATTTCCTATTGTCTGATATGAATAACTGTTTCATAACCAACATAGCTGAACTTCACAAATCGCGGCTTCTCATCAGAATTGCTGAGATTATCTCTCAAAGTTAGTTACTAGTTCTCACAATGATCTATGTCTTTAAATGCAAATACATATTCCCACTAACTAAATCCCTTAAAGGATAGTTGAAAGCCTACATTACTAGATAGTTTTTCCTTTCGATTTGATACACTTTATCAGTACTTATACACTATCCTTCATGTAATAGTAAATAGTGCAACTGAACAATGTTGACAGTAAATCATTATTTCATTCATAAAAGTGGTTAAACATTGTATAATATCTCGAATAAGATGAAGTCAAAAATGTGAACTTCTGGATTTTAACCCACTGATCCAAAAATCATCTTACGCAATCATTTCAGTTTCATGTAATACTGTGAATGTTAAGAGAGTTGTTCACTGTCTACTAGTTCTCCATGTGATGTCGATTCTTTAAAAACTTCGTCTTGAAACTAAAACAATCCTTACAAATCATTCAACTAACTTATCACAATAAGCAAAGTTGGATAATGGCTAGCAGTGGAATCCAGTTTGACGCACGTTTCGTCCTATTTGGGACTCGTCAACTGGATGTACATGCATCTCACAGTTGATGTTCACCCTGGGACTCGAACCCAGTACCCTCGCTTCAAACGCCATCGCGTTATCCACTCGGCCACTGAGTCCTAATGGCCACTTGCTTATGCGATGGGGTGAAGTTTAAATTCACTTAGTATTGTTTGTTTGAATCTTACCATCGATGTGTTAGGACTGCAACTGGTCAGTCTCTAATTGGCATATGTGCATACTGTGCGTATTGCCTCGATATCCATATTTGCTTATCATGCTTGTGAATCAAGGCTATATCGAGGCAATACGCACAGTATGAACATATGCCAATTAGAGACTGACCAGTTGCAGTCCTAACACATCGATGGTAAGATTCAAACAAACAATACTAAGTGAATTTAACTTATCATAAGTTTGAATTATTTATGATAATTCCACTAAGATGGCATAATACTTTCCAAAGCAATCTATAATACGCAAAGATGGATAGCGGGTATCAGTGGCATCCAGGAAGCGCGTTTCATCCTATTTAGGATTCGTCAACTTGATACGCCTACGCCAAGAGTAAATGTTCACTCCGGGACTTGATAGTCTATAATGTTTCCAATATTTTTTTTCTATTATTCATTTCTGAAGAAACAAACAATCATTTTTAATAGTAAACAAACATCATTTGACATTATCATTTCTACATAAACAAATCAGTTTTTTTATCAGTTATAAAATCTACGACAGTATATGATAAGTCGAGCAACGATTCACCAATTGTCTTCAGTGAGTTGTTATGTCACAACAGACGTGGTTGAACTCCACTGGTCACTGCTTCCCACTAGAACTCCAGGACATTTATCTTGAAGTCAGTCACTAGTGAGCATATGATTATAACCACAAGGGGATTTGTGGAGATTTCAGTATTTTTCAAAGTTGAAATCATGACTGACTTCAAGATACATGTCCTGGAGTTCTAGTGAGAAGCAGTGACCAGTGGAGTTCAACCACGTCTGTTGTGACATAACAACTCACTGAAGACAATTGGTGGACGGTTGCTCAACTTCGTGGATCAGTTGAAGTTAGACATTAACACCGTTGGATGCCGGCTCAGTGGTCTATCGGTTAAGGGCTTCGGCTCGAGACTGGTAGGTCCTGGGTTCGAATCTCGTGGGTGCGGGTTCGTGGATGTGCACTGCTGAGGAGTCCCATAATAGGATGAAACGGCCGTCCAGTGCTTCCAGGTTTTCGATGGTGGTCTAGCTTCAATTGACTCATGATTTCAACTTTGAAAAATACTGAAATCTCCACAAATCCGCTTCTGATTATATGATAAGTATTAAAAATAAAATCTACTTAAATTTAGGTCAGTAGAAGGATAAGCTTAATCTAAAAAAAAACCTGTCGGCGTCAAAATATTTATGTATTTCCTTTTTAAGTATGTTTATTTATTTAAAATCTTCAAATGAATATTAGTTAAGTATTCCATGTGTTATGTCAAGTTTGCTTGATTAACCTTTTATCTAAGTAAATAAACATTTGCTTTAATCATTTATAAGATAGTAAGTTTAAGTTGAGTGTTTTAAGTCGACAATATTTACTTAGAATTCATGGAAATAACATAACAAACTTGATAAGTATCAGAAGGGGGTTTTGTGGAGATTCTAGTAATTTTATATAGTTGAAATCATCAGTCAATTGAAGCTAGACCACCATGGAAAACCTGGAACCGCTGGAAGGCCGTTTTGTCCTATTGTAGGACTCCTCAGCAGTACGCATCCACGATCCCGCCGTCTAGTGCTTCTAGGTTTTCCATGGTGGACTAGCTTAAATTGACTCATGATCTCAACTATATAAAACTTGATAAGTGATGATAAGCTACTGTTGTAATGTGGATTACTTATATCTATATAAGTAGTATATAACAATGGTCAGGCTTTTAATGTATTTCAATAGAAGATTGATAAGGAAAGAACGGGAACGAGACGCAATTGGTATGAAAATTCATAAACAATGAAATTAGAGAAGATGGATTGATATTTACAGAAGGAACAGTGAAGATTGAGATAATTGATTGTTATTTTGCAAATTATCTGCTTACTGTATGATTATCAGAATTTAGTGAGATAGACTGTAACTTGTGTCTAAATACATCTGATTGTCCCCAGTTGTGTTCTATTCATTACAACTGTAATTTGATTGTTAAAATTCTATTGATACCAAAGAACTAAACAAATATAATATTAGTCACTATGGAATTATTAATCAAACGACAATGATAATTTTATACATATAAACTAATAGCTTCGAAATGGAACTTTCAAGTTTCTAATAGGAAATGGTAGGCTATAACCGACTTGAGAATAAGACAGTAGCTCAACAGTAACATAAAAAGGATCGGTGTAGTTAGCGATAAATTCTAAATATGAGCGCATCGTAATGTCTAGTCAATTAGATTTTTGATTAATGTAATTCTAAATAACGTTTATAGATTGTAGTGGTTTGCGTCTAGTCAGACGGTACTTTATGTACTAGGGGACCATGCAGAGTAGGCTGAGTAAGGAGGTCTGTAAAAGTGAAGAATAAAAGAAAAGGTGAGTCAACAACCCAGTAATGGCACACAGTGAACTTACATTTAGTTACAAAAGCAACCGAGAACAATCAGAAATGATATAAGCCTCAGATTAGGACAGTCTTGGGATCGAAACTAGAAGCTATATATATATATATATATATATTGTGGGACTCCTCAGCAGTGCGCATTCACGACCTCGCCTCGTGAGATTTGAACCCAAAATCTACCAGTCTCGCGTCAGAGCACTTAACCGATAGACTACTGAGCTGGCATTCGGTGATGTTTATGTCTAACTCCAACCAATCCACGAATGTTAAGTGACTATTAAGGCACCGTAATTCATTTAAGTAAGTTTGTTAGATTTTAGTAATCTTCATACTGTCATTATCTAAGATGACTTTCTATAGATATAAATCTGATTTTAAATGACTCTGAAAATGAAGACAATGAACATTTGTATGTAATTAGCATCAAGATTTTACTATTTATGTTATTCAAGAACACAACTTATTAAATAAGTAATTCACTAAATGAGATGACTATTATAAATCTTTTTTCTATTTTCATCAAATTTCCAAGAATTGGCATTAATTACCAAACGACCTAGAGCTGCTTCAGCTTATGCTGTAGGTGAGACTAAATTAGCAGGTAAGTGTCTAATGATTCAATGATTATTTTCCAAATGTTATATATACATATATAATACATTTGTACTGACTGTTTGCAACTTCCTTATGGTACTCAAGACTTCAATTGATCAGGCTCTTTTGGTGAATGTGTATCCTAAACGCATTACATCAATAATGTCATTAAGCCACAAGTATTATTTAACAGAATTGAGTGGCGGCTAGTAGTGGCATCCGGGGTGCACATTTTGAACAGGTATATGCAACTGACGAGTTCCAAATAGGACTAAAAGCGCATCCTGGATCCTAATGTTAACCATCACTCAACTATCTTTTATAATATTTTTATTCTGTTACTTTATTAATTACGTTCACATTGTTGTGCAAACCTTGAGTAAATGTAAGTTCACTCGGTATTGTTTGCTTGTATCCTCCCATCTTTGTTAATGACTGCAATTGATCAGTCTCTTGTTAGCATATGTGCATCCTATGCGGATTGCCTCGATATTGCCTTAAGTAACAAGCTTTATAAGCAAAAATGGGTGGTGGCTAGGAGTGGAATACAGGATACGCGTTTCATCTTATTTGAGACTCGTCAGCTGATATCTAGGATTGCAACCGATCAGTGTTGAGGTTCAAAAGAACAGTAAAAAATGAATTTAAAATATCAACCCATTGCACAATCAAGTGACCATCAGAACTCAATAGCTAAGTGGATAACGTGTTGGCGTTTCAAGCGAACAGTACTGGATTCGTGTCCCGAAGTGAACATCAACTCTGGGATGCAGGTACATCCAGCTGACGAATCCCAAATAAAACAAAACGCGCTTCCTGTATTCCACTGCTAGTCACTATCAATCTTTGCTTATAAATATCTGTTTTACAAAAATTACGTATTGAAATACAGATTGATTTAATTGTGACTAGTTGTAACTATTAACTTTTTCGAAAAAGTTCCAGCTCATAAAGAGATCCCGCCCCACTAAAGCATCCACTTGAGCTATAAATCTTTTCCATATTATTTCAATTCGTTAATAAATCTTTCTACAAATTGTATCTTTAGTGTATCAAATTATCATTTTCAAGTGGCTTAACAGACACTTCTTACTAGTATATTCCTACGAAAATAGTTTGCTTATTAAAATGAACAGATAGAATAAGGTACTATTGCTGTCCTTAAGATTCACTGAGTTGAACGTTTAGTAAAAAGTTGTTTCTTTTATTAGGAATAAGTATCCTTTGGTTGTTGTTTTTTTTTTTGAACTATAATAAGGACTAAATAACATGAAAAGGTATATCCTACGCATATAAAAATATATTCCCTACCTTCTTCCCATTATCCACTAAATGGTTAGTAATTATTATCTGCTTAAAGGATATCTCAATTATATACAAACAATCCCTAAATCTTCCCACTCAAATATTTAACTGACTCAAACACAAAAATACAATCTTTTCAACTATGATATTGAGTATGGGATTGTTACAATTAAAGACAAAATAAGAATGAAACTGATTCAGACATCATTCTTTATTACCCATCATAGTTTATGTTTTTCTTGTTACTGATATTTCTAGACAGAATTTAATCAGTGAATCACTCATTATATATTCCTTTTCGTTACATGTCTTACTATATTTTTAGATAGTGGTTTTTAATGGAATCTAACATGTCCGTTTTACTCCACCTGAGATCCTTCAGACGGATATAACTAGATGCTACTGTTGATATTCACAAAGAGACATGAAACAAGCTTTTTTTTAATTCAAACATCAATACGCCATCCAATAAACAACTGAGCCACGATAATCATCATCTTATTCACTGGATATGATAATAATCAATAATACTAGAGTATGTGGTTTTTGCTGAAACTTAATAAAAACATCAACAGTGAAAGTTAGGTACATTGAGTCAATAAAATTAAAATAAGACAGATCAGACTATAACCCAACATTAGAAAATATAAAACATTTATTTGGTTTTAAACATACTATTTACAATTTAATCAGTATAATCTGAGAGGGGTTTTGTGGATATTATAGTAGTTTAACAGTTGAAATCATGAGTCAATTGAAGCTAGACCACCATGGAAAACCTGGAAGCACTAGACGACCGTTTCGTCCTAGTATAGCAGCCCTCAGCAGTGAGCATCCACTATCCCGCTTTGACAGATTCGAACACAGGACCTATCTGGACGATTCCGTGGATTGGTTGAAGTTAGACATGAACACCGTTGGATACCAGCTCAGTGTTCTAGAGGTTAGGTGTTCACGTGCAAGACTGAATGCTCTGGATTCGAGTCCTGTGAGCAAGATCGTAGACACGCACTGCTGAGTAGTCCCATACTAGAATAAAACGATCGTTCAGGTTTTCCATGTTTGTTTATCTTCAATTGACTCATGAACTTAACTCTTAAATTTAATCAGTATTTATAAAGCAATATCATATTTGCTTTAATTTGAATATATATTGTTTTTCTTTTCAAGTTTTGGATGTCGCAAGTTTTGAACGTTTAATGGGACCATGCCTTAAAGTTATGCAAAGAAATATTGGTACATATGAAAAACAATTAAGTGAATTACTTGGAACTAATAATCAATTAAAATTAAATGAATTTAGATCAAAATAAAAGTTTTTTTTTCTTTCATTTATTTTTTTTGTTGATGTTTTTGTTGTTGCTATGGTTATTGTTTGTATGGACTATTATATCATCTATAATATTGTCATCCCCCTTTTTCTTTCAATCTATTCTATTGAACTCAAGATTACTATTTTAAGCAAAATGAACTATGTATGAGAAAGTATTTTGGTTTTTTTCTTTTTTTCTTTTTTTTGTTTATATAGTGCCGATTCATTTTGTTAATTTCAGATTCTTCTCTGTTTTTTCTTTTTTTTCGTTTTTTTTTGAGGGGGGTTTTGAAGTGAATATTAATTTCAGTACACTATTGAATTGATTACATAATAACAATAAGATAATTTAATAGATATGTTCATTATATTGATAGTAGTATAATAATAATATAAACGGTGCATTAACTTTCATCCAAAATTGTCTTCTCAAAAAAAGCAAAAAAAAAACAAAAAAAATTATTACGTAATAACACTCTCTTATTAAATTAATTGGATATTGAATATGAATCTTCTTTTTGATTAAAGGTGAAACTGAACTCATTCTAATTTAAGAAAAAATTTTTTTTAAAGCTACAAGGTGGAGTTACAGTTAAACGTATGTGGTAAAAAGAAACATTGTGCATTTCCTGTTGTTTTTTTTCATTGCTGTAGTATAGAAAAGAAAACAGATTTTTTTCTCTCTCTCTCTCATTTGATCTATTTATGTCTGTTAATTGAACGCTATACTCAGTTCCTAAGCTAGTCTTGTAACCTCTAAGCTAAATCTATACAACAACGTGAACACGAGAGAAAAGGCGCAAAATATGAGAGAACAACTTTACTACAAAGGTTTATTTATGTACAGAAAATATAGGGTTTTTATGGTATTTTAGAAATCCTTGGGTTTTCCTGAAAATTCTGGAATCCTATTAAACATAGTAGCAGTGTAGTAATCAGCTAATCAGAAACTCTACATATGACTTTTCATTTTCGTGATGTTTCTGGCAAAACTTTTACTGAGGGCTGTTTAGGTGAAATGCTTCTTATTGTTTCCTGAGCCTTTCTCTTCTTTTGAGAGAAGTTTTCTGGATCACCCTAACATGTCTCTTATTGTAGTTATAATTTTGTTTGTTGGTTTTTGTTTTTGAGGAAAGATAGAGAGTGAGAAGAGAGTTTTAATGTTTAGCAGTTTATCGCCATTTTTCTACATATGTAAAATTCCTTACATACTTACGCCAATTTCCCCTCATGACTGCTCACTAGAATTTTTCATCCAACTCTATACTTGGGAATGTAAAATGCATTCTTATAAATAGTTTTAATCAATAAAGAAAAGAATTGTTTGAAATGGATATGTGTCACAAATTGATATCAATTAGGGAATTATTAAAATCTGTCAGAGTATTACTAGATAATATACCCTGTAATTGAATGTCTAGATACTAACTTCCTAACCGCTTTTTAATCTCTAGAAATTGTTTACTCTTGAATACAAAACAGAAAATATATGGCGAAAATGATGAAACAAGATTTAATTGACGTATGTGCCACACAATTTACTTGAATTATGTATGGGCTGTGATATTGCCCGAGTTCCCAGACAGAAACAGATGATTTTCCTAAGAGGCAACACCCGAAGCCTTCGAGCTAAAGATCTGACTACAAAGCAGCGGAGCAACGTCAGGAGATGCAGTCCCATGGTAGCCGGTGACTAATAATTGGTTTATATGCCTTTTGTTACCTCCGGATCCTGGAGACCATGAGCACCACTGGTTTGCAATTAGGGTTTTCCAGCTCCGCTAGATTGATTCCCGATATCTACCAATCCGGTTAAAGCGCTGAACATTCGCTTTTCGTTCTCTGGATTTCGTTAAAAACACCCTTGCCACGCGTAGTCAGTGAGTAGGACTTCCTAATCAGTGGTTGCATATGCGTGGTCATGTGGGAGCATTTCGAGAGGGAGAGATGACTCTCCCCACCCTCGGCCGTACCAGGGCATTTGGGGGCTATAAAACTCTACAATCGATAATATATTCGGTAATTGTCTAATCAGGATACTGAAACAGAAACTAATACGCTAGTAAGTTTTAGGTTAAGTATTTTCGTTTATATGAAGAAGACAGTAGATTTACTCATTTCTTTTTATTTAAATTAATTAGTCTTTTCAATTAGTAGACAACCCATTTATTGAGACTCTTGGAATACTGAACGGAGTTGAATGCAATCAAATGTCATTTATAATAACGATGATTAACATAATATTTGAGAATTAGTCAATTTACTTATTTTCACAATTGAAATCATGAGTCAATTGAAGCTAGACAACCATCAAAAACCTGGAAGCACTGGACAGCCGTTTCGTCCTATTATCTCGCGGGTGCGAGATCGTGGATGAGCACTGCTGAGGAGTCCCATAATAGGACGAAACGGCCGTCCAGTGCTTCCAGGTTTTCGATGGTGGTCTAGCTTCAATTGACTCAGGAATTCAACTGTGAAAATACTAAGTTCTCCACAAAACCCCATCTGAATTCACTTATTGTTCGATTTGTGATGAAAGTCCTTTTGACACCTGAAGTAATCATCAACATCTTCCAAATGACTATTTATTAGATAGAGGCAATTTCAAGAGCTCCAGTGAGAAGATATGACTAGTGGAGTTCAGTCATAGCAAATTTGAGACAGTTATCCGCGTCAGACATTAAGAGATAGTCATGCAGTAGGATATTTGTGAATAATTAATAGATTAATTAAAAGATGAGATGAATAAAACAATCATTATTCAATTATTTACGGATTTAGAATCTAAATACTGGTTGTTCTGTCTTGTATACGTTATATTGTCCTTCATTACACAAGATATAAACTAAATATATTTAATATAAGGTGTCTCAAATACAAATTGTTGAATTACTGTTGAGTAACTTTTTGATAGATCAATTGATTAAAAATTTGGGACTCGAGGGTGTACATTCCAGTTTCAGAGTAAATGAATAAAGACGTTAAACTAGCAGACTACCCAGGCTAACCCTCTGGGATTTATAGTTGGTGGTTGCGTATCCTAGAAGACATTGAAGAGTCTTCTTGCATCACACTCTTAGTTTGTGTTGTTATCTCTATCGATCAGTCCTTCGGAGTTAATTGACTTCAAGTAACTTTCTTCATGATGATCAAACACAGCACTCAGATCTTTATACATTTGACGATAGTTGTGACCGTGAAAACTCTGAACGATATATACATCATAGTAATGCAAGTCTATATCCACGAGTAAATGGTGGGAAAAACGTGGTCGTTTAGGCAACACCTAAAGGTTTCGTGGTTATGAAATTGTTCCCCATATCATATGTTGGATCTAATATACAACGGTAGGAAAATGCTTATGTGATAACAAAACCTCAAACAGTAAAGTATTTTTATTCTGTTCAGATGCAACCAAATTATCAGTCAGTAAGACAGAAACACTTTGATTGTTTAACAGTTGTTGGGGCAACAATACAAATCTTTATATCAACGCAGTTGTTTCTCGGTTGATAAAGACCAAATAAATTGGTCAGGCCGCTAAATTCGCATCGAATGCTACAATTTGATAGGGTAATAAATCTTTATTTCTGGCTTCGCAACCATGTCCAAGTTTATCCTCTTAATTCAGCAGATATTTACAAGATTCTTCAACTGAAATTACGACTTCTTAGTTGATTATAATCCTTGGAATTTTATTCATATTAATGAACTCACTAATTATCAGAAATCTTTGATTAAGAAAATACTTTTCTACCCAAGTTAAAAACATTTCTGAACTTTTTTTGATGGGGTTTTGTTCCCTGAGCTGGATGGTTTGATCAAAATCATCCACCTGAGCTACAAATCTTCTTCAACATTTCTGAATTTAGCCGCTTGTCAATTGAGGCTTATGCAAATAGGAGTATGTTTCATAATATTAAACTCTTCATTTCTAAATTTTCATATCTATGAATTAATTTTATAAGCTCGAGAACACATTCATGTTTGACCTGTGGGTTCCCATGGATTCAAGTCCATTATTCATATACCAAATTAGTAAAAATAAAGCTTTAAGGGCTCTCAACAGGATGTTTACGTGCTATTCATGTCAGGGGCTAAAGATAAAAGTTTGGCATTTGGAGGGATTAAGTATGAGACCATTATCAGACGACCGTCGTTCAATAATAGACAAGAACTCGTTTAATTCAAAGTTGTTTGAACAGGTGGAAATTGGAGAACATACAGTGAAATTATTCACATATTTAACAAAATTATTTTTTGTGGGAGATGACAAATTATGCATAAAAAAGGAAAAGGGTAATGATCAGAGCCTTGTGGCCCACCTTAGTGAGTTAGCAGAGACGTAGAATGCTTTCTTCCAAACACAGGGCACTGTCCTCTTTCAGAGAGGTAAGAACATATTTGGTCACCCAGCAGTCGGTGTGAACTCTAGAAAACTTGTTAAGCAGCAGTTATCTTAGAACAAATTTGAAAGGCAGAAGTATAATCCAAAAAAGCGCATTGAATATACTTTTTGCTCTTTTTCAAGCTGAACACCATATCATGATACGGAACAACAACAGCATACAAGGTACTATTTCCCATTTCTAAGCAAACTGATATGGATCAATTCAATGTTTAATGCAGGTTGAAGTATGAGTAGAAATAGTTTTTGAGAAAAGGCGAATTCCTTACCGTGACTATTTGACAACTGTCAGATAGCATTGTCCAATACTTATTATGATGTTATGCAACCAGCCAATAAGAATAATTCACATTGCTCCACTTCAACTGTTATTCATGATTTACTTAAATCCATAAAGAGAAGTGATTGTATAAAATGCTTTGATGAAACTTGTTAATTATAAACTAACCTTCATTTCACTGTTGTAAATTCAGTATAGTCGTTGTTCCAGTTATGAACATGTGTTATGGATTCATTTAGTATTGTTTGTTTGAATCTTCCCATTGATGTTTAGAACTGCAACTGATCGGGACTCAGTGACTGAGTGGATAACGAGATGGCCTTTGAAGTGAAAGGTGCTGGGTTTGAGTCCCAGAGTGAACATCAACTCTGAGGTGCACGTACATCCAGCTGACAAGTCCCAAATAGGACGAAACGCGCGTCAAACTGGATTCCACTGCTAGCCACTATTCATCTTTGCTTACAATGTGCTATGGATGTTTTGACTAGTCGATTACCAGTCCACATCAACCTTTACTCTCAAATTGTCTAGACGTAAACGACGTATAACGTAATTTAATTCAATTTACAACTAGAATGTATTTTATTACACAAATATTTACACCAATATAACCTGGCTTATAACAAGTAACAATAGTAATAATAGGGTGAACAATGATTAAAACCAGAGATTCATGAATATTAAGTAAAGGCAATTTACAAAAGAAAATATTAGTTTTCGACAATTTTGTATTACTGAAACTTTTTAGTAGTATTTAAGGTGATTTGAAAAATACGATAAGTCTATTGATAAAATAAAAAAGAGTTCATCATATACTATTTGGTGAATTCAAGTATAAAAAGAAGATTGCCTAATGATCAAGAAGGTAAAATGAATAAAGAGGGACAAAGTAACACATCAATCAGGTATATAGCAGATATTCAGCATGGGATTGTGAAAAGTGTTGAATTTCATTAAAGTCACGAACTGATCTAAGTCAGATAGTTATTGAAAAACTGGAAGTAATGAATGGCAGTTTCATCCTAAAGTAGGACTCCTCAGCAATGCAATATCACGATCCTGTATTCAAGAATGGAACCCATGACATGACCTCATGTGAAAGCAGAAACTTCCTCAGTTCTAATAAGAACCCATGACCAGTGCAATTTAACCATATCGGATGTCATGTGGAAACTCAACGAAGGCAATTGAAGGTAGTCGTTCGATATTGTGAATAGATCAAAGTTATTCTAATACACCACTGGATGTTGGCTCAGGGATCTAGGTGTTAGGCGTTTATACTCTATACCGAAAGTCTTGCGTTTGATGCCCGGTTGAGGGTCTTTGAATGAACACTGCTGAAGAATCCCACATTAAGACGAAACGGTCATCCGGTGCTTCCAGGTTTTCAACGGTTATTTGACTTAGATCGGTTTGTAATTTTAACGAAATATATGACATAACTGAATCATAGTTACGAAAAGCTGAAAGAGGTCAGTAACAACTAGATGCTCAGCAACAAATGAGCAAATAAAATAACTAAAAACAGAAGCTAAACTCTGAACTGCTGAATTACCAAAGCTTTTACAATGCACACACGCTCCTTTCAACCCCTCTTGTTTTTATTTACTATATTATTTTTCATTATTTTCTTCAAACCTACTACTTATAATCCATAAACACATCCTACTTGTGGATGCGCACTGTTGAGGAGTCCCACAATAGAACGAAACGGCCGTCCAATGCTTCCAGGTTTTCCCTGATGGTCTATCTTCAACTGACTCATGATTTTAACTATGGAAATACTAAAATCTCCACAAAAACCCCTTCTGATCTATTATTATTTTATCATTATCAATATTCACATTATTAACAACTTTCTACCGAATGCTTAATTTATTCGACACGATCAAGTCCAATCTTTGTATTGTACTCTATGCTTCTCAAAAGTTTGTATCGATTATATTGCTTCACAACTAAAACTATTCAACTGTGGAAACGTGTTACCACCGGAACCGACAACAAACCGAACATTTAAAACAAAGTAAACACTTGAAAAACAAACTATTTCATTGATTTAAATTGTCACACGTATCAACAAACCATTCAAATAGGATGTAAACAATAACAGAAAAATAATTAAATGTCTCATAATAACTTGAAAAATAAAAAAAGAGATAAGCAAACAACTCATACATAATAAACAAGGTGGATGGTGGCTAACAGCGTTTTGCTTATAACTTAAGGCAACTACAAGGCAAGTCATACAGGGTGCGTATATGCCAATAAGAGACTGGTCAATTGCAGTCCTAAACATCAATGAGAAGAACTGAGCAAACAATCCTAAGTAAATCATACATTGTTTAAGAAGTAAGTGAAATTAAAGTATAAATTGTTCGTAGGTATCATTTAAACCATTTAGTATTATATGGAGAGACAATCAGAAGTAACCTAATTAGAAGCTCAGCCGATGGCAATCAGAAGTGACCTAAAGGACAAGTACATTTCATTGGCCAGGAAATGGATCCATTTCCTAAGGACTAGAGTGATATATATGTGAATGAGTATCTGTACATTCCATTTGGTAGTTCAATATACTTTCTCGTCCGTTATTGTGTTATCGCTCGAGTAGTCAGTTGGAGAATTTACGAGTAACAGATCGTGTATCAGTACTAGATTTTGGACACCGAATGTCACAACAGTAATACTTGGATTTATTTATCAGGTTCAAAAAATAAGTTATCAATACGATGATTTATAAGTTAGTTGAAGAGTTTTGCAAATTGATTTTAGTTGCGATACTATTGTAAACCAAAGAAAACTGAACAGATGTTCACGTCCTGGTATTGGACTTCTCAACACTCTTAACCCACGAATAAACCAGGTATCGATTTGTAACAAATAAAATCTAAGAATTGAACTATTCTTCAAAATCCACCTACAGCTTAATTATAGCAGTCAAATCAATGGCGAATTACTCTAAGATGTTCCCGAAATTTTAGTAGTAAGTCGTAACCGATGTAGTTCAGAATTGTCAGGAGTGAAACGATTGTCACCAATGATATTGCATTATCACTAAGCTATATTGCAAACTAATTGAATTTGTAATCAATTTATTATACCCTTACTTAATGTACCTAATGGTCAAACATTCGATGTGGGGCCTCCAGACTATGTGTTCGATTCCTGACAGTCATAATTACTAACCATTAAGGAGTGGGTTACTGATATTCACATAAGTAGTATATGGTGATGGTCGGTCATTGAATGCATTTCAGTAGAAGATCGATAAGGAGAGAACGGGAATGGCACGCAATTGGTATGAAAATGCATGAACAATAATAATCGGAGACTATGGACGGATATTTGCCGAAGAAATAGTCAAATTGAGACAATTGATTGTTATTTTGCAAATTAACTGTTCACTATATGATTCTCATAATTTGGTAAAATTTTCTGTAACGTTGTGCTAAAATACATTCGATTGTCCCCACTCATGTTATTGTTCACTACACCTGTACTATACCTGAAGTTTTAATGATATGTCAAAACATTTGTTTATCTCAATAGTTCAGTCCATGAGTCCATGTAAACTAAACTACTATTGAAAACCTGGAATCACTGGACAGCCATTTTGTTATAGTATGAGACTCCTCCACAATGCAGATCCACTATCCTACATGTGGAACTCGACTCATGAATTCAACTATTAAAAAAACTACAATCTCCACCCCCCCCCATTTTAATTAATTTATTTATTTATTATGTTATAAATTGTATTTGTCAACTTATTAATATTTAAATTCACATGATGTTGTTTAATTACATCTTCCCACTGTTATTTAGGATTGCAATTGATCAATCTCTTATTGGCATATGTGTATTTTGTTAGGATTTCCTCAATATTGCCTTATTTCACAAGAACTGTAGGCAAAGATGGATAGTGGCTAGCAAAGAAATCCAGGACGCGCATTTCGTCCTATTTGGGACTCGTCAGCTGGACATACCTGAATCTCAGAGTTGACGTTCACTCTGTGACTAGAACTCAGTACCGTTTGCTTCAAACGCCATCACGTTATCCACTCAGCTACTTCCTTGTGCAAAAGGGTATATCCAGCTGACGAGTCCCAAATAGGACGAAACGCGCGTCAAACTAGATTCCATTGCTAGCCACTATCTATCTTTGCTTATTCATATTTAATTCAATAGTATTTTCTAATGGTTAATTATAATAAATCATAAAAATAATTGTTGAAAGCGTGAGTCAATTGAAGCTAGACCACCATGGAAAACCTAGCTTCAATTGACTCACGCTTTCAACAATGATAAATACTAAATCTCCACAAAACCCCTTCTATAATAAAAATAATTAACATTAACAATTTAAAAAATATAAAAAGACAGATACCAAACACTTTCATATTCATTCCTCTATTATAATTTATTATATACAAATGATATATATATATATATATGTCAATTAGTATTACGTAATCCATTCATAATGCATAATATTTAATTGTTTTTTTTTCTTTTAATCACCAAGGTTTTTCTTTTTTTTTCAAATATTTTAATCAATACATTTACCTCTCTCTTCCATGTTTTTTTTTCTTTTTTTTTCTTTTTTATTGAGGTGATGGATATGGTACTTTAGTTTGATTAATTTGATCAACCATTATAAAATCAATATTTCTTTGAATAAGTTCATGATCATTATCAAATTGATTCATTAAATTATTTTGATCTTTTTTATGATTTGAAAATTTTATTAATTTTTCATAAAGTTTTTTTGTTAATTCCTTAGATTTATTCATTACTGTCTTGTTATTATCTTCTTCATTACTATTATCATTATTGTTACCATTATTATTATTATTATTATTATTATTATTATTATTAATATCGTCCATTTCCCCTTTATCTTGTCCACCACCATAATCATTTTCATGATCATTCATTGATGTGAATAGAATTGATTTGGGATCCATTTCATTTAATTGATTGATTCCATATTCATTATTAAGGAAAATATTTTTTCCCGATGATTTTTCAGAATTTATTTTATTATTTAATTTCATTTTGGATTGATTCATTTTTTCAAATAAAATTGATAGTACACGTTCTTTTTGTTCCCATGTTAAATCACGTATTGTTAAATGAGTTGATTTAGGACTAAAATGTTTCAATAATAATACTTATTGTTATTATTATCAGAAGAGGGTTTTGTGGAGGAATCATGAGTAAATTGAAGCTAGACCACCATGGAAAACCTGGAAGCACTGGACGACCGTTTCGTCCTATTGTAGGACTCGTCAACAGTGCGTATCCACGATCCCGCCTCGCAAGATTCAAGGTGTTCTACAATAGGACGAAACGACAGTCCAGTACTTCCAGATTTTCCATGGTGGTCTAGCTTCAATTGACTCATGATTTCAACTTTATAAAAATAAAAATACTTGTTACGAATTTAAAAAATAAAGAACAAGGCCCTAAGCAAATTTGTTATGCTTTTATATCCGGCTTTTAATCACGTGATTTATCCACCAATCGGAATACGACTTTTCTAATCTTAACATTGTGCCAAATCAATGACGTTCGACCGGTAGGAGCAGTCTAGTGTTCTTATTGATCCTTTGTCCGCCTAGCTCTTCCAATTGAGTCCAAAAACACTAATTGCAGCCTCTGCTATGCGAATCATTTACTTTAAGCATACTCGGTGGTTTATATACTAGACAGACAGACCGTATCACACCATAATATAGAAAATAATATTTGTACAAGATCAAGCCAAATGTGGCTGTGAATGTGGGATACATTAATCAATAAACTGGATATAATTTAGGAACAGTATATCGTATAGTCATAATCTATAGGTCAATATGTAACTTATAATAAGTTGAATATAAATACACATAATCTAATTACTCAATTGTTAGACAATAAGAATACATTTAGAATAATAGTCCAATAATAGGTCCTGGAAGTTAACAGTACTTATGTCCTCACTAGGATATAACACTAATAATAACTAATGTGAAGTAGTCAATTCAGTTGATTTATTAAGTAATTGGAATCAGTGACCTGGAATTCTTTCTGGTATTTGTCAGTAGAATGTGATCACTTCTTTAACTATGGTACTTAAATCCTACAGAGAATATCAGTTCCACATATATACTAAACAAACAAGCATTAATTATTAAGAAACTTTAAACAAATATAGCTTTACAGTGTTTTCTTTTAACTACCTAACATCTTAGTATAGTTCATCAAATGTTAAGTTATTTATACAAAGAACAATTGAATTGGTAGAATAATAAAAATTTTAATAGTTGAGATCATCAATCAATTGAAGCTAGACCACTATGGAAAACCTGGAAGCATTGGACGGCCGTTTCGTCCTATTGTGGGACTCCTGGGCAGTGCGCATCCACGATCCCGCCTCGTGAGATTCCAACCAAGGACCTATCAGTCTCGCACGTGAGCACTTAACCTCTAGACCACTGAGCCTGCCTGTATCCAACGGTGTTAATGTCTAACTTCAACCAATCCACGAAATTAAGCGACACATCTACCATTGTCTTCAGTGAATTACTATCTCATAACAATAATGACTAGACAAATACGATATTCGATAGGAATCGATGAATAATCAGAGTGAAGTTTGATCAGTAAATGTCATAATTTAAGAGTTGCTTAGGTAGAAGTATATCAGCCTGACTCACTTGAGCGACTTATTAACCAATTAGGAAACTTTACCTAATTATGAAACACTTAATAATGTAACCAATAAAATCACAGGAGAATAGTACTTTTAGTATGCTTATTTATCTCTTAAATGTTAAATTATTTATAATGATAGAGGTAGAGAGTTAGGAGTTGGTCTAGTGTTGTGAGTTTGGTTTATAACCCCATAGGGCATTAGTCACCAACATAACAATTACAATGCAATTATGCTTTCCCATTATTCTGTTTACTAACTTAGAGTCAGAATTTACACTGGAAAGATGTTATACAGCTACAAAAACATCCTTGGCTATGCATTGAATCAAATTTAGTGCTTTAACACATAATCTGCATTTCTTGTGACTTAACTTCAGCACCATGTAACATTCACTGTTTACTTGCATAGTAAACATCCTTTATTAATTTCAAGCATTTTAGAAACCAAACATTGCCAACTTCCATTTGATTAACGATAACTTAGAAGCTTTTTAACACTGCATTTTTTTATTTCCTGAATAAATATACGAGGTGCTACTTAGACTCTGATTGGTTCACTCATGATCATCAGTATGGTATACTTTTACCGTTACCTACTAATTGATATATATGTATATAAATTTTGTACAACTTAATAATTGTCTGACCCCAATAACTTGATGGATAATCTGTTGGCGATTGAAGTGATAGATATTGTGTTTAAATGTTACTGTGATTATCAACACTAGAATTCAGATACATCCAACTGACGAATACCAAATAGAACCGATGTACTTCCTAGATTTCATTGCTAGACACCATCTAACTTAAATTTGCCATTTATCAAGTAACCATTTACTCAGGTTAACTCAATTAAATATACGTCAAAAAAGATACAACAAATTCACCTAACAATATACACTTACATTTTTTGAGCAATTTTAAAATCATCATATATATTATTTGTACTATTTATCTTATTTTGAAATGTTCTAATAGGTGGATAATTTGATTTACCTAAATGTGCCAGTCGTATAGAAGCTTCATAAGCAGATTTGGCATCATGAATATAATTATTTCTAGACAAGAAGAAAGTAAGAAAAAATATGTAAATGAATATCAAGTAATCAGAAGGAGTTTTGAAGAGATTTCAGTATTTTTATAATTGAAATCATTAGTCAATTGAAGGTAGACTACCATGGATTACCTGGAAGCACTGGACGGTCGCTTCATCCTATTACAGTGCTTCCAGGTTTTCCATGGTGGTCTAGCTTTAATTGACTCATGATTTCAACTAAAAGAATATCAAGTAAATTACTAATATCATTTCTAATAATTGTGTAGTTTATATACAGTTACAACTATTGAAAATCAGAAAGTAATAAACGGATATTTCATCTTAGCCCGAGATTGATCAGCATTGTACACTCATCGCTACGTTAAGAATGTGACCTTAGACATTGAAGTATCACAAGAGACTAAATTTGATCAGCATTCTTGAAGCTCTCGTGAGAAGCTATGAGCAGTGAAACTCAACGATGTCGTAAGTGAGACAGCTATTACCGGTGAATACAGATGACATCACGCTATAACATAGATTAGTTAATGTTGGAAATATGGATTGCTTGATGCTGATCCAATAAGTTAAAGTTAACCCATTTGTCTCAAGGTTTGAAGGTCTTGGATACAGTAACCAGGTGTCATAGTGGGTTCGCACTTTTGAGGAGGCCTGCATCAAAAACGAAACAGATGTCCAGTCTACTCTAGTTCTCAATGATTGCTTAACTTTAGTCAGCCTGTGATTCAAAACTGAACACTTTTCATAAAATTATCACATACAAACCAGTTCCATCAAGTCAAAATGCAAGGGTATAATCGATTGATTTGAGGAGTCGAAAACGAGTGAAACAAATCTCTTAAAGAAAATTGCATTAGTTTCTTCTGAACATGCATAACAATTAAAATAAAACGAACGACAGTGTTAAATGACCTACTGTATAGCTGAAAAATAAAATAGATTTGATAAACAGACATGATTGTGAGCAAAGATGGATAGTGGCTAGCAATGGAATACAGGATGCACGTTTTGTCCTATTCGAGACTCGTCAGCTGGATGTACCTACATCTCAGAGTTGATGTTCACTGTGAGACTCTGACCCAGTACCTTTCGCTTCAAACGCCATCGCATCATCCACTCAGCTACTGAGGCCTGATAACCACTTGCTTGTGCAAAAGGATACATCTGGCTGAAGAGTCCCAAATAGGACGAAACGTGCGTCCTGTATTTCACTGCTAGCCGCTATCCATCTTTGCTTACAATGCTTGTGAATTAAGGCTATATCGAGGCGATACCCACAGTATTCACATATGCCAATTAGAGACTGACCAGTTGCAGTCCTAAACATCAATGAGAAGATTCAAACAAGTAATACTAAGTGAATTTAGACATGATTGTAGACTAGAAACTATAAGAAATGGTTAGATAGTGTAATGTTGCAAGTGCTACATATAGGGGTATGACATAGAATAATACTAGTAGTGTATACAATTAAAAAGGTGGCACTTATAACCATACAAGTGATCACGAGAAAAGAACAACATTAATCATAAGAAGAAACAAACAAGTTACACATGTACACATATATTAGCGGTTAAACAAACTTTTCCATCCACAATAATAAATTATTTCCTAAACAAAATTGAAAAATTGAAAATGATAGTTAAAATTGTTTGTTATTAAACAAATAAACAATTAAATATTTTCATAGCTGAAATCACGAATTGATCTTAGATCATTGGATGACTGTTTTGTCCTAGTTTGGAACTCTTTAAGAGTGGACATCCACGACTCCGCCAATGGTAATCAAACTCAAGATAATATATCTCATGAATAAGAACTAAACCTTTAGATTAATGAACTGTCATTTAGCGGTGTTAACATTCAACTCCAATAGTTCATGATATTAAGTTGCAGTCATTTATTCCCTGAGGTGGATGACTGCCTCACACATGATATGGTTAAACTCCACTGGTCACAGATTCTCATTAAAACTTCAGGGGTTGCATCTTGAAACTAGTCACTAGTGAGTACATGATTATTGTTAGCATGAAAGGATTCGCTGAGATTGTAGGATTCTCACTGGTCTAAATCATGAACTGGTCATAGCTAAACCAACTAAATATTTATTTTAATTATATTTTTAGGGTAAATTTATTTTGAATCCTGGAAAGCATATGAATAATGATATAAATGGCAAGCAATAATATTGATTGAAGCACATATGATATACCCCGAACCGACTGAATTTGAGGAAGTGGTAGATCAGTGGATAACAATTCGATGACTGAATAGTATTTTGTCTACCAGAAAATTTGAATGTTATATGATCGATCTAAGCTAGACATTCATTGAAAACCTGGAAGCACTGAACGATCTTTTCGTCCTAGTATGGGACTCCTCAGCAGTGCACATCCACAATCGCGCACACAAGACTCAAACCCACGACCTTCAGTCTCGTAAAGTAAACTGGAACCAGAAAAATTTCAAAGTAATTTTACCGAATTGCCACTAGATGATACCAATTAGTTTAGAAATTAAAGTGTTTTGTTCATTACTAAAGGCCTGTTTAAATGTCTGGTCCACTTATCTTCCAGATACCCAACTACTATTATAGATGGAGTTGTTATCATGTTTGCCTTCTTGTTTATCCTTTAAGAGAAAATAAGAAGGTAATACATTAGAATTCGTAAATTCTATATATGATGGATAAAGCTTAATGACAGTAGTTAAACTAATACAAAACCTCTCAAGATCCAAGATCTGTACGAGTGTTATATCCCCTGGTGAATTATGAATCGTAAATCTGAGGTCTATTATCGACCAATGTATTATGCCTATTTCTTATTGTACAATTATTACGTAACTGAACTATTCATATTCGTATTTCTCTTATCATTAGCTTTATTTTGATCTTTGATTTATTATCATACGATTCTTGAGTTATAATCAGTTTATTGATTACTTTGGTTTGTATAAAAACCCAGTGTGTTTGTAAATAATGATTCATATTGCCGAGGCTGTTATTTGTGTTCTGCACTTAACGGGCTGGGCTAGGCAGATAGGAAGGACCGAATAGCACCCAAGACTGCTCGTACGTATTTCAAGTATCATTTGCATCCGATCAGTAAAATCCACTCCTCTCTAATCGCTTGTTCATATAAATTACGGGCCCATACGATATAACAACGAGATATTGAGTGTTAAAAACTCTTAATAAATATATTTTTAAATAGTTGTAATTTGAATGCATTTCATGCAGAAACTTGTCGAAACATTGTACAATCGCCACTAAAAAAATCCTTAATTTAACAAAAATGTTTAGCACTGAATAATTTAATTAATATAAGTTTTTGAACAGTACGTTTACATCTGTAAACTAATCACTGAAGACATTGGTGAATGGTTGTTCAAATTCGTAGATTGGTTGAAGCTAGACATTAATAACGTTGGATGCCGACTCAGAGATTTAATGGTTAGGCGTTCGTGCCCGAGACTGATAGGTCCTTGGTTGGAATCCCGCGAGGCGGAATCATGGATGTGTACTGCTGAAGAGTACCACAATAGGACGAAACGGCCGTCTAGTGTTTCCAGCTTTTCCATGGTGATCTAGCTCCAATTGACTAGTGATTTCAACTATATAAAATTACTAAAATCTCCACAAAACCCCCCTTCTGATAATAATCACATTTAGTTAGACTAGAATTTATGGACGATGTTTAAACAATGTCTAAATGACTTCAAAAAATTCGACTATTAATTAGGATCAAAAGAGGGTTATAAATTAGTATGAGAAATTAAGATTATGAGTTACAGTTACAGTTTTCATCACAAATAAACATCAGCTTTAATACCATATGACAATTAGTCATGTTGATGAATAGATTTCTCGTCCAACTATCCTAAATCTCAATGGTTCGTCCATACGTTATGATCCCACCTCATATTTATATACTATATTATATATACAAGGTAGTAATGAAGGAAATACTAAAACAAATGACTAAACTTCATTATCCAAATTAAGTATTATTTAGATAAAATCGTAACTAACTGATTCACTTTGATCTCATCACGAACATAATTTAAAGATGTAATAAAAAATTCTTCAATTTCATTTCTTTGTTGTAAAATTCTATTGGCTAAACTAGATATACGTATCATTTGTTTACGTTCAAATTCTAATGTTTTAGTTAAATTTTCTATAGTTTTAGATGATTCAACAGTTTGAAGGGTCACTTGTTCATTGAATATAGTTTTTTGTTTATTTAAATCTTCAGTTAAATGTTTAATTTCATATTGATAGAGTTCAAGTTTCTCATCTTTCTATCAATAAAGAAATATGTTATTATAATATCAATGGATGTTTATTTAAGTAAAAATATTAGTTAAAACAAACCGCAAATTTACTTGGAAACCATTTAATATATTACAACTTGGTTGTTGCCAAGATAAAATTAGAGCTAAACAAATACTGAATAATTGGATAAGCAGCACTAATAAAGTTCAATACAGACTACCTTGGAGACACTAACAAGCTCAACGAATTCAAGAATACTCTCAACAACTGATTCCAAGTTTTACAAGATCTACAGAAAGGAGAGGAAACCAGTATGAAGAGCGACCGAAAAGGGACTGATGTAGCAGTGACTTCAACATGTCAAGAGGTGCTAATTCTCGAAAAGTACCAATAGTAATTTCATGAAAATAAAAGTCAAATCCTTCATTTGGTTTAAAGGTTTCGAATATATTATTTAATCAATTTACATATTAAAATATGATTTTAAAATGTAGTATCTATCAATATTTACTGACTTATGGCCTACTGAATCACACTATAATCAAAGTTATCTGCCTTCAACTTTTCATCTATTCAGATTTGTCGTCGAACGTATGTGAGAGAATATCACTCCATATAATTGTTAGTCAGTCAGTATGTGATCACACTACAGGTTGATAGACAGTCTGATCAGGACTAGTCACTACACAACATTATGTGAGTCAATACTAAGGTGTACATTATTGTGGTGTTTGAATGAACCAATGAGTTTTTTGTATTGATGACTGTTTTGATTTTGAATCCCAAATACAATACATTCGTTCGTGTTCATCTAATACCTTTTGATTGAGTTGCTTTATTTCTGGGATTACTAGTTTGCACTATAGTTCAAATACTCTTAAATATCACAATTATTTTGTACATTTTGGATCTGTAGGTCATCATTCACTAACCAAATAGTTTGATGAGAAAATCTGTGACCGCAACATTAGCTGATTTCGGTTTAAATATCACTGGAGATCACCAGTTCCCTCAACATTATATACACACCATGATGATGAAAGTCAGTCAAAATAAAGTTTGGCTCTAGGAGGAGCCCAATTACCTAGCAACAAATGATTCAGTATATACTGACATGACTGTTATGAGTGAAAATAAAACCTGGACTGACCCAAAGAGAGGATGATTTATTTCAACATTCAAAACCAAAGGACAGTTTCTAACTATCACTAACAAATTCATTATTTTGCATATATTTTTATATGTACTGACTGTTCTTCAAATAAAGTCATACCAGACTGATACAAACAGATATCGTATTTGATTGGTACGGACGAAATGTCACACTAAATTCATATGACGACTGATAAGCATCAAGGTGTTATATTGAGTAAAATGTCTCACCGAATTTTTTACATGATCTTACCCCTGACACATGGCAATTAATAAGTTCTAACTTTTAATAGTGTCTACGTAGTTAAAATAAGCAATGATGGTCGCATAATAAATCGCCTGAAAATGAAGTTGCATTCATTTCGACGTTTTGTAACCTCAAGAAGACGGAAAACATTATCTCAAACTGATATACACTGTTGTAAATTAAATACTTACTGCATGCCAATAATCAGTCTAACATTTTTTCGTATCCTCTTTTGTGTTTATTGTAAAGGTAAATGGTGACTACTAGTAACAGAGCAAGTGTTATATTGGATTATGAGCTGTGAAAAACTTACAGTTTTAGATCGATCTAAATTTACATTTTGGTTTTCTAGCAGACACTGGATAGTTGAAATGGCATACTGGAAAGACGTTGATCACGAATCCTCTACATAATCCAGTACCCTAGGGCTGATTAACTAGACAGCTGTGACTTTTTAAAGCAGCATTAGGTTTACTAACAGCTAGAAATCAACTAACCATGAAAACATTTGTCTTTCACGCAATTACGAACAAGTAAGCTAATCTAATTGATAATATGTAAAGCTAGCAATACACCAGTTTTTATTTACCAGAGATAACTATCAGAATAGAAAAATAAATTTTATATGATAAGTTTTACATATAAGTGATTTGAATATCATTTTTAACTCTACTTTGAGAAAGCATACAAACATCGGCATTTGAATAAACAATTAAAATGTAGTTATCTATCCGAAATCAATTCGGTCTAAGTAGTGTAAGTTTTAGAGATATATAAAATTAGATAGTGTTTACTTAAGTCAAAACAGCTTTGTAAATTGGCTTTTACTGAAAATAGTAATATCGGTTTGATATCAGCTTTCAATTCACCTAATAACCCCTTAAACTAAAATTCTTAATACGATGACAGCACAGCAACCTGTAATTTCCAAAATAAATGTATCTCGCTTAGTTCTGTACACGCAAGCAAAACGGAAAACGTGTAATACTTATGATTACTTTAGATTACTGTTACAAGCGTTTAGGAACTATGACTGAACAAGTGGTCCGTATACGAGAGATGAACTTATTAACGGCACAGATCTACAAAAGTATATATTTCAAGCACTTATTAAGTCTTAATAGAAACGCTCACCTCTTGAATGAGTTCTTTCAGTTTTTTGCACTCCAAAGACTTTGACAACAAAAGGCCTTCCAAGGTTTCCTTCTCTAAAGTAAGCTTTTTGTTTTCTTCGTTCAACGATCTTGATAAGTCCTCAGCTGACACCAATTGTCTTCTTAAAAACGTTATAAATCTCCTCATTGCGACGTTCTGAACAAATGATAACTTGACGGAATCGTCTAAATTTCTTATTAATGGTTTGATTATTGTTATTATGAAAGGAACCTAATAGAAATTTTGTGGGCTTCTTCTGCCAGAGCTTTGATGTCCTTTATGCTACTCTCTCTCATTTTTAGCTAAAAGTATGGGACAACCTGAACCCTCTTACTTTCTCTTCGAAAAACTTTGTCTCCATATTCTCAATGAGACACTTTTGATTTTGAACTTCATCACGCAACTAAAGTAAATCAAGGTATCCATTCACCTTATGGGAAGTTTTATTAGAATTATACCTGTTTTATTTCGTTGTCAGTTCGTATTCTTTCACTTTTGTATTCATCCAACTGCATTATTTCTCGCTCAAGTTCCTTAATTTTATCGCACTTTTTTTCCTTCTCACTATTTATGCACGAAATCTGTTGCTTTGCATCTCTGATCTAAAAGTGTTAGGAGGAAGCACTCAGAATGTGTAGTCAATCTACAATTAACTCTTTATCCTTTTCATGAGAAATGGACATGGATTCAATTTTGTCTTTAAGTTCTTTCAGCTGCATATTAAAACTCCAGTAAATAATACGGTACCTCACTGTCTTTATCTTCATTTTGCTTTTTTAAGTAAGAAAACACATCTATTGATTCCCTTTCTGATTGACGTAGAGCATCACTAAGTCTCGCATTGTCGTCCGCTAACTGTTTTGCACGTTCCCTAATTTGTTATTTGAAATAAACAGCCTACTGAATCTTATCTTTGACTTTTTCCGCAATTTCTACTCTAGTTTCCCATAACTTGGCATTAACAGCAGCTATCCTTCTCACATCTTCCAGCTTCTTAATCTTATCATCATTGCTTAATAAGGATAATTGATAAAGTTTTTTAAAAACCTGTTCTTCAAGTTTTTCTTTTTTGATGCTTTTTTATTGCCCTTCTTAACCATTTCAGTTATAGAATTGAGTGTGTTGCTATGCCACTGAGTGCCTAATCATTAGTTAAAACACATCCCACAGCACAAAAAGCAAAGAGACCTTTGCCTCAAATACTCTATTTTCAAAGCTTTTTATTGAACTTTTCGGACCTAGAAATTCTACCAAGTCCATTAACAGGTGTTCAGAAGTCGTTCATGTATACAGTGGTTTCTCCCAAATATCTATGCTAAGAAATCATCAGATGGTTATTAAATCTGTGAGTGGTTTCCATAGTTTTGCGAAATATTTCATGTTCTATAATGTTAATGGTGTAAAATGTACAGTGAGAAATCGGAACGTTCAAATTGTGAATAATCAAGATACACCAGTACTTTAAAAAAAGGCTTGTCACACAGCTGTCTATATAGACATTGGATAAGTGGTCACAGATGCTCACAGAATTGGTAATGAATCATTAGCTTATTCAGCGGCTGACTACTAGACTTTTTCGAACGTGGTAGTGAAAGCCAGTGTTTATGGGATGGTTTACACATTCTTCTTGAAAAGGCTCAGTAACTGTAAACAAATAGTCCCGTAATTCCTTGGCAATGATGCTGAACGCATCTAGCTGAATGCGCTTGGTCATGCATCCACAACAGATCAAGAGTGGGTACGCCGTGCTACGCATCACTTGCAACTGTTGGCCAGATTAGACCAAACGCTTCTCAGCATATCGCTAGCCTTTCAAATATATGTTCGAATTCCTTCATTCCTAACTTTTGATTTAACTTGGTTGGTATACTTAAACTGTAAATGTATCACTTGCAAAGACGTTGTTGAACTCCAAATACCTGTCGCAGCTTTATACTACACAGTATGTCACAATCCCCAGTGGGAGTAGTTTTGTTTAGATTTTCAAAAATACGCGGCAGACAAATGATTTGAAAACTTATAATTCACCTCTTGACCTTTTATGCAGATATCGATCACATTCATTTCTATACCTCTGAATGTTTCTATATGAAATGAATTGATTAACCTACCTCCTACCGACCATCTCATAACTCTGTTGCCGGTAATACCTTTCCAATAAGAGGATCTCTTAGCCAGTCAAACCAGAAGTCAAGAAGCAGGGAGTTAGAAGATATGTCGGAATAGTAACCACTGTGCCGAGGAGCAAATGATCGATTCTAACTAGTTGTCATGATTGCTTAGCATGGCATATAGAGTTGTGATCTGATGAGAATGTTTGACCGAACGACTTCAGCTAGGGTGTTCCCAGTAAAACCGATGAGGTCTGCGTCAATGTCGACGGCTTGAAGAATCACTTATTTCAAGGATTCGGTCAACGCTACACTTATGATTACCAGAAGCAATTACCCCAATGACTGTTCCATAGCTTCTATAAAACACTGGATCGTCCTTCAGTTATCATGCCGGACAGCTAACCCTAGTTTGAATCTAAATTATTCTGTCCTATAACTAAAGTCTTGTGGAGGGTAGGATTTCGAATGATCGCTTATCACCTACAAACTGTTGGTTTAATAAAAAGATAATGAAATTCTCCCCATGTTGATTATGAACACATTAGGGTGGAAAGATCCACTTCCACTTCATAACGAAGGAGGACATGGTCCACTCTATACTGTAGCCTAAATCATTTACACTGCGACGCACTGTTCTAACACAACTTCAAGTTAAAAAATGTCCGACCCTTCTTACAGCACATTATATACAGTACTGGACACAATGATTCATTATGCCGAACCATGTGCCATATTTCCCCTTTCTTCGATTGTTAGTCTAGAGGTCACACGTACATTCGCAGTGAATGAACACTCATATGGGGAAGACTAATTTATTTTTATTGCATAATCACACATTGGATCAGTAAGATGTCAAAATCATACATCAAATGCATCGTTTGCATATCTCCTTTGAATTTTCTCTTACAAGCTTCATTGCTTCTTCATTCTTGCTGGTACCTTGGTTGCTTTCGTTTTCCTTCTCTCTACTCTTCATTTTATTCTTCTCAACCTTCTGCTCACAGGCATCCCACTTCCGGCTGGTTTAACATCGTACTCATATTTGAAAACACAAGTAACGCAGATCACACATTTCATACCTTTAAAATCGACCGTCTATATTAAAAAATGATTTCGCAGAAAATACTACATTTATTTTTCATTTGGCTTATAAATAGTTACCCCTTATCACTATCCTCTCCTTCCTTATCTGTCTCCAGGATGTCGTTCCTAGTATGTTTTGAAACAAGACAAGCATCTGGTTTCCTAAATTCCTTCAAGGTGTTCGACAGAGTTAATCATTGAACTCCTTGCTTGAAAGTAAAGTTGGTGTGGAAGTGTGAATATTCAGCTAAGTGGTTAAAAGAACTAATCAATCGTGCCGACTAATAATGTCGAACGAAACACCATAATTGTTTATGAACAAACTCTAAAGTAATCTAAACACCCTGGATCTGGTATATATGGGCAATCTTCAGATGGGTCTTTCCTAGTACTGACAAATGAAAACAGCTGATAATGAACAACAACTTTCGTCACCACAGGACCTGTAAAATTTTACTTTACACTTACCACTGTAAAAATTGGATCATAGTGTTACTCTGCTTCTTATACTGCATGTTACTTGCAGGCTAAATTGTAGAGTTAACTATATGATTTCTCATAATTTCAAACTGTCAGATTGCCAACACTGTTCAGCATTAAGAGAAATTACATTTAAACGGATTAGTGAGAACCACTTGTACATGGTTGTTTCGGCAATGCTACTCGGACGCAAACAGCTTGCTATCCGAAGTCATTGAGATGGTGAATGCTGCTAAACGGAGTATCAGCAAGGATAATAGAGATACGTCAAACAGTACTGTCCTGATCGCTACACACATTGGTTTGAAGCTACTTCAAATAAGCTAAGGGTCGATTGACTTACATCGGCCAATGGTGGAAGGGTGGCCTCTTAAGGGGTTTGTTAGAAATAAAAGATCAAGAAAGGAAGTTTCTTCTGTTCTCCACTCTCCAAGTGACAGCTAACAGAAAATGCCTAGGAAACCTAGTTGTAAGGCCAGATCCGCTTTTAGCACTTGCCTTTCGTGGAATCAAGGAGAGTGAAAGCTCAAAATTCAAGACTTATCTTTGGCATGGTAGTGAGCTGATAAAATATCTACTAAACCACCTTGTGTCTCATGATATATCTGGAGTCACCTTGCTAAATGTTTATAGACTGGGTAGCCAAATAAACTTGAAACATGATCAAACCGGGCTGCTAAAAGCCATATTTGAATTTCCCAATGAAAAGGATTTATTACTACAGAATGGACATACTCTAAGGTGGCAAGGAGTTCGTTTTCATAAAGACTTGCCGCTTGCAAACTGTATAAAAACCGAGAAGCTGAAAAAGAACCTAAACTAAGATTAGGTGATGGCAAGTACGGCCCAAAAATTGTAAACTTTCGAGTGATGGGGCTTCAACAGAGATTGATGACGAGGCCACTCTGGATGCAGGACGAAGTTTTGAATCTGTTACACAAATGCCTGAAGCTTGTCTAATATGCTATCGGAGCTAGGTGTACAGATAAACTCTACCAGGCCAAATGTTCAGAATGGTTCAAATGGTTGTGAGCGGAATAGAAGAGGCGTTCGCTTAACGGGCTTCCGTATCTAGTAACAGTGGATCACCAATACCTCCAGACAGAAACCAAGGTATATTAACGATAATAAGAGAAAAGAAATTGGTGAATCATAATAAGATCTTATCCTTATCGCTTGGACTATCTCATTCGGCAGCGAATTCCAGCATTTGACAACTCTTAAGGAGTAGCAGTTGTGTCTACAGTCCATTCCGCAATGTTGGGCCTCCAGTTTCTAGGTTTATCCCCTTAGGTTTGTATTGGGACTAAGCTTAAGTGGGTGTTTTAGATATCCAGAAGTGTTAAGGATACTGTAAGCCATAGGAAGTTCACCTCTATGACGACTATACTCTGACGGGTAAACATTCAGTAATTGGAGGCGCTCTTCATAAGGTTTGAATTTGAGTCCCCGAACTGATTTCATCGCTCGCCGCTAGATATGCTCCAGAGTATCCTTATCCTTTTGGAGGGAGGGAGGAATAAAAGGGTACGAATAAAACTGTTGAAGATTATGTGGAAAGTTCTACCGTCAAACTGGCCTACGACATGTCTCAGATGGACTACTTTACACTTTGAAGTGTTGGAGGTAATTTCGTTGTCGTCTGCCCAACTTTGAAGTCGAGTTAGATCCTCCTGAAGTGCCAGTACACCCTCTTGGTTGCGTACCTCTCTCTCCAAAGTTTTACATCATCAGCAAGAAGCGATAGTCCAGACGATACTTGTGGAAGATCGTTTATATAAATTAAGAAGGAGGTCCTAGTATTGAACCCTGGTGGAACCCACTAGGACATTCCATAGCCTGAGAGAATATGAAGTTAACCCTGACCTTAAAATGTCGATTTTTTAGATATGAAGCGAGCCGGTCAATTAGAGCTTGACACCAGATCGCTTAAGTTTATTGATAAGACATGTATGGTTGATCTTATCAAAAGTTTTTGAGAAATCAAGGTAAATGATTTCAACCTTCCCCTTGTGATTAAGGATGCTTGTCCGTCTGACCACCGCAGTCAGCAGATTGGCTATACAACAGTGACCCTTCCCCAAACTATTCTGTTGGGGTGAGAACTTTAAGGATAATAAGTAGTCGTGTATACCATCGCATATCAGGGATTCCATAAATTTAGAAGATATAGAGGGAAGGGCCACCGGTCGGTAACTTGAAGGTTCACTGCGTCAACCTCCTTAGAAAATTGGTGTCATGTAAACCAGATTACAAATTTCCGGTAGTTTGCTTCGACATAGCGAGTGTGAGAACATCACGCTAAGCGGTGTTGCCAGGATTGAAACTGCTTCCCTAAGTATAGCGGAATGAACCATATCTGAGCCAGGAGAAGTGTCTTTTCTTAGGTGTTGCAATTTACGGAACACTAGGTCAGCGCTCAG